TGCGGGGACCGTTGGGGGCCGCTGCTTCCAGAACCCCACAGGGGGAGGCCGCGGCGCTGCCGACCGATGAGGTTGGTGTAGCTTAGTGGCCCTGAAACACTTGTTTCCTGCGGCACCGGGTCTGTCCACACACGAGCTAGTGTTTCTAAAGTTAAATACCTTCCTCGCCGGCTGTGCGGGGAGGAGGATGGGGAGCAGGCCCTGGTCTCCTTGGAGCCCTTGTCCAGCAGTTGGGACTCCCCAGCTGTCAACTCCAATGGCCGTGCTCCCTCCCCTCCCTCCCCTCATACCGGCAATGACAGCGCTCCGTCTTCTCCTCCTTCAGCTGCTCTGCTGCTGCCCCCGAGGCTGGATGACCTCCTCTCCCCATCTCCAGCCACCACCCCTGCTGGTCACCTGCAGGGGCCCTCATGGACAAGTCTCTCAACGGCGGGACAGTGAGCGCTGGGTCTCATGCCTGTGGAGCAGCACCATGAACCTGCGTTACCAGCCCGCCCCAGGAGCGAGACCAGAGGCAGAGAAGGAAGAGGGATGGACACCACCCCCACCACGCTGCTTCTGGTACCTGAACTCCGCCTGGGTGAAGACCACCTCGCGCTGGTCAGGCCAGGTCAAGCTGCAGACAGGCCTCCTACCAGGAAGCGCTCCTCCACCCATGGCCTCCAGCCTCCTTACGGTGCAATGCTCATCTGCTTCATGCGCTGCACCCGAGTGCATTCACCGCAACGTGAGCATCGAGATGTCTGGGCAGGATATGCGGCTGTTTGTGCTTTGGCCACAGACACATCTGATCCACGTGTGGCAGCCAGTACAGCTGGGCTGGTGTGCACGCCTCAAGAGTGCTGGCTGGCAGTACCGCTTCAGCAGCCAGGGAGGCAGCCCCTCTACCCTTCTCCTTCCCAGCAGTGAGCACCAAGACACGCCACCACCTGCTGTCTACCCAACAGCCGAGTTGCAACGGACCTGTGCCACCTACTACAGCTACCGCTTGACTGTGCGCTACAGGCACCATGGGCTTCACATTGCTTCAGTCAGCATCGAGCAGATGCCTCAGATAAGCCTCAGCCTCTTTCTCAAGGTAGAGCCTGACTTGCTGCATGTCCTCAGTGTTGGCTCCAAGCTCCTTAGTGTTCCTCAACAGCCCCTCAGCCTCTCCTGGAGGCTTCAGCCCCTTACGCCAAGGACACTGGCCTACAGACTGGTGGACACGCAGGCTGTAGGAGGTTGGCTCCATTCCTACAGTTCCTTTACCCTGCAGAGCAACTTCTGTGCTGTTCCCACACCTCAGAGCCCGGGTGAGGTGGTGGTGGCCAGCATTTATTTTCTGGTTGATGGAAAGAGGTTTGAGGAATTGACGGGAGAACTACATCTACTCAATGGTACCCTGAGCCTAACTGCAGGCAGAGAAACTCCCACCCATGTCAACCTTCACGTGGGAAAGACCAACAGGAGCACTTCCATTTTCAGGTACAACCATGGAATGTTTTACAAAAGCAAAGAAAACAACAGCCCTATTTCCACAGATGGTCCTAACACACACACTGTGTTCTTCCAACACAAGGATCTCTCGTACTTACTCTCCATAGAGTTTGTGGCCTTCCAGTGGTACAAGTTCAATATGTACCTTTATATGAATCAGAAGAGGGCTTTGTTTAGGTCTCTGGCAGAAAGAGACCTTGAAGTCCACGTTTTCAGCAGCAGCCGTCCTTCTTCTCTGCAGAGCTTTACTTATTTAGTGTGGTTTATCCCTGCACAGCATCCAATGTTACAGTGCGAGTGGACCTTCCATCTGCAGCTTTTTGGAACACAAAAAGACCACCTTCTTCAGAATAGCACGTACACATACAACGATCGTGTAAAGAACGCCACACGTTTTGTCCGTCGCTCTGCTTTACCCTTTGATCCAGAGAAATACACAGGGTTCGTGGCAAAAGTGAACTGTACCAGAAGTGCACTTTCATCAGCTCTTTTAGGAGTCAGAGTCAACAACTATGCTGCAAAAACCATAGAAGCACCAGTGTCTTGCCAGAAAGAAGCCTGTTACATACACACCGTGCAGATTCAGAAACCTGTTCTTCACACCAATGTCCTGCGCCAGAAAAGGGGGACATCTTTTTACCTCTTTGTCAGATTGCTAGTAGGCTGCAAGATCGGTATATCTGTCAAGCCCTTGTGGCGAATCTATCCTGTTCGGGACACAATGACTATTCCAGACTGGGAAAAACCAATGAACTCTTCTTCAATGTATGGTGTAGAAATGATACACCTAACTGTTCCCAGTTTTACTTTAAATTATGGGTTGTATCTGTTTTATTTCACTGTTGAGATAAATCCAATTAGGACCTCAACAATCCTCAGGGGCTCAGATAAAATTTATATACAGATTGAGAGCGCCGATCTAGTGGCAAATATTGCAGGAGGCACATTCCGCACAGTGGGTTTTTCTGATAATTGGACTCTTGATGGCTCTGCATCCCATGATCCTGATTCACAGGAAGGACTAAAAGGAATCACATTTACTTGGTACTGCACTAAAGAGGTGTCAGACTATAAAACCATGAAAGTCAGCCCAGGAAAGAAATGCCATCCGGCTCAGAGGGATTTGAAATGGTTAACACCCTCAGGTCCAGTTCAAGCAATGCCACCAGAATCCCTCCCAGGAAACGCCCTATACTACTTTCGTCTAGTGATTCAAAAGGATGGAAGAATGAGTTATGCCGACCAAACGGTAGATGTGCAGCCTGGCTCTCCACTCCTTCTGGGCATGGCATGCCTTGAAAACTGTGGTAGCACTCTAATTCCAACAGAGAGATTTACCTTGTCTGGAAAATGCCTAAACTGTAGAACAAACAGCCATCCAGTCTACTACTGGTCCCTTTTTTCAGAAAACTCTACGGAAATTAGCTTTGACTGGTCTTCTAGAACCTCAACGGGGAGGTTTGGGGCTTACCTGTCTATACATGCTCTGACTTTTGCAAAGACTGCACATCGATCCTACGTACTTCTGTTGAAAGTAACTACCTGGGATGGTAGGTCCTCAATCTACAGGCACCCATTTAAGGTAAATTCTCCTCCTAGGGCTGGCAAGTGTACCATTAACCCACACTGGGGTACAGCCTTTCTGACAAAATTTGTTGTTCAATGCAGTGGATTTTCTGACAGCAATTTACCTCTGACATATAAAGTGATAGTAGCTTCCAATGTACCCAAAACTACCAAAATAACTTCTGTGGAGGAAAATACATTTGGCACAATTCTGTACTTTGGTTATCAGCCTAAAACTCCTCCATCTTTTCTCCCAGTTGGAGTGCCCTCTCAGCAGTACACCTTGACGCTTTACGTTCAAGTCCGCGATTCCCTGGGGGCATTTACCCAAGTGAATTTATATGTCCGCGTACGGAACCCAGTTAACAGTCGGCCACTACCTGTTGTGTTTCATGACCTGCTGGCCTCAGTGAGTGGTTTAAGTGCACCGATGACCTCTTATCTCCAGACTGGAGATTATTTTAGCGCAGGTTATTTGGCTTATCTGGCAGCCTCAGTCTTAAACTATATTAAAGCCTCGCCAACTCTCCAGCTCCCTAAGGCTCAGTTTCGGGAAAGCCTGATTAAAACAGCCCTGAATATTTCAGTCGAGAGCACAATGGAAATCAACCAAGTCGTTGCTTCTCTTTCTCAAGTCACAGAGGAAGCCGATGAAGTGAACCTTAGATCACAAGACCTTACCATTAAGAAACTGGCAGAAGTAACGGGAGTGCTGAAGATACAGAGGAATGAGAGCCGTTGGTCTGAGGAAGCAGAAATTCAGACCAGTGGGATACTAAGATGCTTGTACAACATCCTGAGAGCTGCTCTTCTGCATCGCAGGAATGTCAACGTAAGTGGAGTTAAACAAGTCTTCTCCATCATGGAAAATTTAATGGAGACAGTTTTCCAGGGCAAAGTCCCTGGAGAAATAGAAACTCTCATGCAGACAAAACTCTGGAATATCACTCTGAAGAAAGATGAAACCTGGGACATTGCAAATGCTTTCTCTACCAGAAACACCTGCAGGAATTGCTTTTATCCACTACTGAAACAGGATTCAGGATTGACCCAGGATGCTGTGATTTCCACTGCCCTTTTTGAGTTTGATGAGAACCCTTTCCCTTGGTTAGGTTACACATCAGAAATTGCAACAATGATCTTGGGCTTCAAAATGGCAGAGACCAAGGCTAATGGGGATCTACTAGGGATCGTGCCTGAAGGAGCAGAAATTACTATTGCTAGGAAAGAGAAGGAGGCTTCAACTTTTCAGTTAGCAATGGGACCTGATAAAACACAAGCTTACACAACTGGAGGATTTAGTTTTGAAGTCAGCAGAAATACCAAGACCATATACATCCAGATCCTGACAAAATTAAAAGTTACTTTCAAGGTGCTAGTATTTACAGATGCCAATGTCACTCATGCTCAGCCCATAGCTTCGTTTCTTGCTTTTCACAACATGTCAACAGTTGCAAGCAAAAACGAGACAGCTAGCGCTGACTGTAACATTAAGGCTCCCTATATAGTCTGTCTCCCAGAGTCATTGCTGGCAGTTCCAGCTCAAGGAAGCAGTACAGACAC